TTTTTCTTGATACTAAATTATTGAGTTAACATCAAAATTAGATTTACTGAAAAGATAAATAGAGCAAAGTATTTGGCGTTTGTTTGAGTTCGTTTGTGTGCGTATTTGTGTGTGTGCGTTTGTGTGTTTAAGTTACAATTGTATACGGTAACTCATTTTTACCCAATCAAAATGTAATGTCACTAACAGCAATTTAATTAGTTCAAAAATGATTTTAACCAGATGATACCCCAATTCATATTAAAAGTCTTCGTTGCAACCAGACAGAGCTTTAGAGCTTTCAGTTTTTTTAAATTCTATATTAGTCAGATTCTTCATTCGACTATACTCCCTAGCCTGTTCCACAACCCCCTCCTCCCCTCCCTCCTCCCCCACTGCTCTTTCCCTTCTCAGCATTGTCACTTCCTTGTGCAGTGTGTATCAACCATCACACGATAAAGCATCCTCTGCATCCATAAACAAACAGTGTGAAACACCATTGAACTAGTGGTTTGCTGCTGTTATCGTTTTTGCTTTTGTTCTTTTCATCATAAACGCCAATTTTTTACCCTTCTCTTAATCATATCATGAAAGAAGAATGAAAAAAACTTTAAATAAAAGAAAAAAGAAAACAAGAAAAAATGAAAACAGGCGTTTATGAATAACATTTAACAGCTACACTATTTGTTTTTTACTTTTTTCCCACCAAAAAAAAAACCATTTTTTACATGCCTGCTTAAAACAATACTTTGATGTATTAAACAGATACTACGCGTTTCATTAATCATCGTTGAATTTTTGCTTAGTATTACCTGTACAAAAGCCGACTATCACCAAAAATCTCGAAAATGAAGGTTTTATACAAAAAAGAAAATTAAACTTGAGGATGAAATTCAAGCAGCATTTAAGTTGAATAACAACACAAAATTTACTATTTACAAGTAAAAGACTTAATGTCGTCAAGAACGACCTCCGAAAAAAACGCTAACGATAGGTGCAGGTATATATATAACACTATGGCTTTAGCGAAAATAATACACATTTATGGACAGTGTTAAACCAGTGGCTACTAGCTGCCAAGAATAAGTGGCGACGTAATTCCAGTAAAGTTTATTCTACCAGCCCTGTAAGGAAGTTTGATGCACTAGCCGCTGACAATTTCAAGACAAAGTGTTATGGTCGACATTCTCTTTCAGTCTTATATTTGTTTATTTTTTTTCTCTTCTCCCCCCCCTCACCTCCCCGCTTTTTTTATAAGCTACACATCAAAGTGCTACAAAAGCAATATTATTACAGTGCTATAGAAAATGTCCGTTCCCCAGACGTACACTACAGCACTCGTAATAAAGTTTGCACACTTCGTGACAATTTTCTCTTGTGGTAATACCCGTTTCTTCAATATCTCTTTTCATCCGTTAAGGTTATTTTTCAAAAAACTTTGTTCTAACTGTAGCTCTGACTCCTAAACACTTGACTCCCCGACCTCAATCAATTAATACATGCACTATGTTCTCCACAATTTCAAAACTTGAAAAAATGAACGAACCAACACTCGTAAGTTAGTGCAAAGCTCTAAGCAGATAAACAAAGTAGTCCAAGATTAAAATACCCTGCTCCTTCTTCCCCTACTCCCGCCACCACACTATCAAAATGCTTTCTACTGACACGAATCAAAAAAACCAATGCCATCAGTGCGCCAAAAACCTTTATTAGACGGCTACACGCCTATTAGCGATGATCACGTCAACAGCACTTTGGCTTCTATCAAATCGATAAACATTTACTATATTTAAGTCCGACTCCTTCAAACAGAAAATACCTGATGAAATTAGGGGAGCAGCTCCCTTCAGAATGCCGTATAATGTCCTAATTTCTCAACAAATTCTGAAAACGACGAAAACAACGGCGCATTAAATTAATGCTTCAAAATCAGAGTTAAAAGACGCCTCCTTTCTTACTGTCCGTGTTCAAGGTCTGCGAGGTTTAAAGAAACCTGGGCAAGTGCAGGAGCTTCAAGACCGTGCTCAACAAATGCTACAGAAATGCTCATCACAACTCAGCCCTACAAGGTAATCAATTTTCTTTTTAAAACCCCGATTTTACGAAGCCAATCTGTCCGTAAAATAGCTTAAATTGAACAGCAAGAAAATTTAAAAGACTAACAAATCACGCTGCCAAAAACACTAAGCCATTTTACCCCTGGAAAAAAATTTGAAAAAATAGTTCTTTCCACTATTTCTCCTCTAGCAGCTCTCGAAGTAACAGTGTTGATGAGCCACCGACACCTGTTCAATGAACAGTTTAGCAAGTTTAGTAAAATGTCCTATGCTGTCACATATGCAAAATAAAAGATATGTTCAAACCAAGAAAATGTATGAAAGGCTAATCAATGTGTAGTGAATGAGATATCTGTAATAATCACACATTGCCTACTGCAGGTTCGGTCGCTTATTACTGATACTGCCTCAGCTTCGAGTGGTTAGCCGCGAAAAAATTGAAGAGGCACTTTTTCGCCCCGTCTTTGGGAACACGTCTGTTGTCAAAATGATTTATGCGATGTATAAAACTAAATAAAACCAGTCAAACTTAAAATTGGAAGAACTATTTTACACAGTTTGATGTAATTTACTAGGAGCTGCACTTAACTTCTATTAATTATACAAAGCCGATTCAAAACTAAAGACTCTTGCTGTCGACAAACTAACCTTTTACAATAAAGCAGTTCATCCAAATAATCGATGAGCTATCTGCTGACGATAGCCGACAACTACAAGCATTAAAATTACTGTTCAGCTGTTATCAATCTTGGGGCTTTTTTTTCAGAATTCAAGATACTAATTATCCTCAGCGCTAATTCAAGAATTACAAAGAAACTTACTTGAAACTCCTAGCGGCAATTTTTTCACTGAAATAAATTAACCGTCTGTGATGACCTGGCCTACTTCTGAAGCTCTACTATAAGGTACACAATATTTTTAAAAACATGAGGTAATATTAACAAGAGTTAAAAAAGATGAGAAAATCAAGACAACCAAAAAACATCACAAAAATTTTTCCAATAGCAAACTCGAGAATTTGGAAAATAGTATTACATAAACAAAACCATAACAACCTAAAAAGAGGGTGAAGAAAGAAATGAAGTAAAAGCCTACTTCGCAGCTTACAGCTTAAGAAGACTTAAAGTGAAGTGATTAAAAAAGAGACTAGACGTGATTAAAAGACAAACCCGTTACGGTACGTATGGAACACTCAAATTCATCTTTGAAACAAATTGAACACATCATGGTTACCCTGAAATGTAGCTGGGAGAAAGACGTGAGAATAACGACAGCGATTGATATAATAGTTAAAAACAGCGCCTTGAAGGAATAAAAAGGATCTGAGAAGAGATCATAAATCATCAAAAGACCCAAAACGCCTAATCAGGTTAAGAACTACAAGGCATTGAAAGTAAGAAGATACAAAAAGAATCATCATATCTATTCAGTCATGAAACTCTTTATCGGTCGAATCGGCAGTCGGTTTCTGGAAAGTACCAGATGACGATACGATGGTCAATCCTCCAAGCCGTTTCGCATTTAGGTTTCCCCCTTGCCAACAAACAATACAACCAGATGCGAGACAAGCAAAAAGCCTGGTACAACGTGAACTAAATGTTAAGCTGAAAAACCTTTACTTTTAAAAAAGTGAGAGTTGAATCCAATTATAAAATGACCTAGGTTTTAGAGGAAAAGGGTAAATAGATATGACCAACCTGACTATAGGTTCCATATAGTTCGGATGAGAAATGTCTCGCAAAAGCTGCATTGTCCACATATTTAAAAACCTAAATAAATACAGAAGAGAAAATAATAAGAAAAACCCCATTAGGCGGAGAAAGGAATACCGAATAACGCCATTTTCCATGCCAAGAACAAGACAATTGACAGCAGTCCCTTCTGGTAATGTAGTCATGCACATCGCAGTAATCGAAACTTCAGTTGTTACCTCACCAACCAAATCTCCATTCACTGTGTACAATTTCACAACATTCTGTTCAGCTTAAAGATAAAAATAAAACGTGTAACTGATAAAACGTGTTACTTTTACAATCATTATTTTCCAGGTACAGAGAAAAAAATGAAGAAAAAAATTAGAAAAAACCACGCCTTAAAATGTCTTCTAAAAGAAAATTCAAGAAAATTAGAGTACAATAGCATCATGTGACTTACGTGACTGCAAAAATACTCCAATGTCGCATGTTGTACAACTGATGCAGCTTTGCATCACACAGAACTCAGGACAGGAAAAAAGCGTCCGAACATATGACAGCTTATTGGTATCCCAAATGCATAATTTGCCTCTAAGGCATCCTGTCGCTGCCACTGCGTACTCACTGCATATCGATATGGTAGACACATCGATATCATGAGCAAAAAGTTCACGTAAAAAAGCACATTTCCAAGACCCCTTAAAATAAATGTTGTTTCGCAAAAAACTTGAAACAAACCGTAGCTCGATCCCAGCTGTTACTCTTCAAGGAAACAATTGTAAAGGATGTTGCAAATGTAACATCAACACCATATTTTTCAACTGATAAGTGGGAAAGATTCTTAACAGTCCTAAGCGCCCAAGAAAATGACCAAGAAAATTTGAAACAAAATCAACAGCAAACGAATCAGAGGTAAAAAATCGCTTTCAAAAAAATTTAGTATCATAATTTGGGTTATCCTCAAAAATATAAAAAAACTACGGACCGTGTCATCGGCAGAAATACGGTAAACTCGGGTAACGCCAAGGGTAAGAGCCACAAAAAGAAGGTCACTTGTAAAAGAAAAAGCGACTGCTGTAACCTGAAAGTAGCCAAGCGTAAATGCGCATAGCAGCAAGTGTAAAATATTTCAGCTGCCCGAAGAAAAAATGAAATAAAAACTAACCTTGAAATTATAAAGGTCAATTAGATTTCTCCATGTTGGAACATTCGATCCTAGCAAGCACATGCGAACTAAAGAGTCTGAAAAACGCCAAGACAGAAATCCAAGCATGAACACATCTTTCGATTTTGAGGATGACTTAGCCTGAAAAACGGTAAGAAATTCTGGAATTTAAACTCAAGAATGCTAAAAAATTATAATGTCACTGGAAATTGTAAAAAAAGCTTGCTAATACAGAACTCTTCCCAAAATAATTTCAGAATAAAAAGAAAAACGAGAATCATTGCAGAGTAAACGAAGTATTACTTGAAACAAAAAAGAGCCAAATGTGAACAACTTATGTCCATCAGAAAATAATTAGATTCGACAACACGTACACACATACATAAATTATATATATACGAAAGTGAGCAACTTAAAATAGAGCTGCATAAATTCCCATTGCCAAAAACTTACAACTCTTACATGATGCAAAAATGAGCAGAAATCATCACTGAGAAATTTATTACAACAGAAATTAAAAAAAAAGAAACAGGTCCTCTGAAAAATATTTTTTCAAACCCATATTATTTCTTCTATGTATTTTATTCTTCTAATCTGTCTCGAGAAATAAAAAAGCTGCAAAAACTGCTGCAGGAACTTTTATTAAACTCTAGAACGGTAAAGAAATTACTAACAAAATTTTTTTGTTGAGCATAGAAAAGATCTAAAAGAGGTTTGTTTTCACCAGCAGTCGAAAAAGCTGAAGCAAAAAGGTTCACCTAGACCTTTGAATGATGCCCTCAACTTTCGTTCCGAAGCGACCTGAGAAAAAATCAGAGGTTCAACGTTATACTTAGAAAGAAACCTAAAATTTAGAACAGCAGAAGAAAAAGAAACTATTCTCAACAGTAATTACCACGAAAATGCCGGTTAATTTATCGCTGTCAAAACATAAAAAGTCTAAATTATTTGAAAAAACACAGATTCAAACCTTACCAAGACCCTATTCTCAATAAACTAAAATTTAAAAAAAAAACTGCTGCGAAGAAAGGCAAAGAAAAACTGTAATTTTTGAAAACCGAAACGACAGATAAACTTTTTCTGCAAAAGCTGATGTTAAATGATCAGCAGTATGCCAACTTGAACAGCTCCCAGTATTAAACTAAAGTCCAACACAGAGCGTATTAAACCCAGAGGCTAATTATCAAATAAAGCATTTTAAATGGATTTTAATGCTGCAAATCACCAGATAAAATAAAAAAAAACAGTAGAAACCCTTATCCAAATCACATCACAGAGCCAACTGCTCGCCCTTCACAAAGACTTAACTACCTCAACTTTGCGAGGAACTAAAGACAATTTTTCCACAATAACTATAATTATAATACATGTAAAATAAGTAAAGGTGCAAAGTTCACCATTTTCTCTCCTCATCTGACCGAAGATATTTCAAGGCCGATAGAAACAGTTCTGCTCTTAATACTCTAAATGTCACAACAATCTAACACAGTTAAAAATGAATTTCCTCCAGGACTTGAAACTAACGAAGACACAGTTTATTTGAGAAAAATTGAGAAGTTAGAATGAAATGATGCTCATCACCCCTAACTCTTTAACCGCCACTATTTCCCAAATGTTAAATTTTTCAACATACCCACGACAACAACCAAGTTTTGTCCGGATAAGCGTAACACGACCCATCGGGAAACGACTGTAGATGAGAAAGATGTCCACAACTACGGCTTGGATGTTGCCTAAGCACTACGACAGGATCACCAAATTCAGAATCAGGACTACCAACAAATTCACCCCAACGCAATCCCATAACCGTCGTCAGTGGACTCTAAACAGCCAAACTAATCTGAACCATATCAATTACTCATGAATAAGCATCACTCGAAGTTTTCAGAAATCTAAAGCACCATATGTTTTATCCGCCAAGTTAGATGAGAGGGGTTCAAAGATTTTTATGTTATCGGTATGTCAAGCTAACCAGACTGGACTTCGTGGTGTGCGTAAACAGGTTCCTAACTGCCATATGTGGCAAATGAGGGGAAAGAAATAATTGCGTCGGCATTTGACCGTACGTCCTAACCATTGTTTCCAAAGCACCAACAGAAATGGGGTCAATATTTGCAGTGTTTATAGCGGATATTCCGTCTCGGTAAGTCTGCAATTCCTAATCCGTTAATTACAGAATTTGAGAATGTTCATTCAAAAAGACTCGAGATCTTTCTTCCACCCCCAAAATAATGCAACTTGTGTTACAGCTGGATGAAAAACGTTGATTGCTTGAACAGCAGCCGACCCAATCTGCTTATAACCAAATATAAGGTCGATCCATAGATGCAATGACGAGGTAACTGTAGCAGATTCTAGAGCTTGGCGATGAATGAGCACAAACAGACGAGCAGAATTCATGCACCTACAGTCATTACGTTAACTAGATAATATTAGTCTGCTTACCAATGTCGGCAGTGTTCATCACTACGTTATAGAATCGAAAAGTATAAAAAACATCTAAGAAGCAAAAATGCAAAAAAAATGAATAGAAGATCGCTGCATAACTAAGTGTTAACACTCTCCTACTATGTAGATCACCTCTGCTGAAAAAATTACCTAAAAATGTAGCAATAGCGTATGAGACCTAATTTACCTATTCATTTATTTAGAATACAAATGAGAACTAAAAACTTTCACTTTGTGGCTCCTTACAATATGATTCTTCATACCTACACAGACATACGATAGGTAGAAAAAGTTTGTTATTGAAATTCAGCAGTTAGCACCAACCAGTTTGGAAGAATAACATCGTTTACTGGTAGACCATTCTGTCGAACTCCCAAGTTCAAACCTTCACGATTTATAAGAAAGTCATAACAGCAAAAAAATTCAGGTATTAATTCTTTAAAATCCGTTGTTGATTCATAGCTGGACAAGCGCCATGTCGTTTCAACCGAGTTAAACAAGCGATCAGCAATATCAAAATTGTTGTCTAAATCAGTTCAAGTAAAAAAAAATAGGCCCCTTTATACGGTAAATCATGTACAGTGAGTTACCAGCAACAAAAACTCCTGATATCAAGAATCTGTCTCAATCAGTAAATCCAAAATAAACAGAAATCAGAGCCAAGATAACTTACATATGGAACATGTTTAGAAACCACAAATTAATGAAACGATGGTGGCAAACCTTGATATTCTAAAGCTATTTCCGTGAATGGCGGTAACCGAACAAGGTAATGAACAACTATTCCGCTATTTGAATAATGACTTCCGTAATGATATGGCCCAAGAACTGCAGGTGTTGCATGAGTTTGTAAAAGCCGTTTCCTTTCTTGTTCGAGACACTCGTAATTTTGAAGATAATGTTGCTCCATACTCTTGTTTTGCACAGCCATAGGCTTAGACAAGTTCCTAAGAAAGTGACGTTTTCAGATAGTTTTGAGGTATTTTTCTTGGTCCAAAAACGAGGTTACTTAAGATATGCTGTAGGCAAGTATGTAAGGACATATAGCAAATAAAGCAGGCCCTTAATTATCAGTGTATCAACTGCAGCCATTAACAATCAATTAATCGCAAATAGCACTCTCGGAAATTCAGTTACCAACACCGTGAAGAGGGAACGGCAAGAAAATTAGGTCCAGATTTGCCAGATACCACTTCCCCTGTCAGTTTCACCAACCTCTAATAGTGGTACACAGTCATAAAAGGGCGCCTGTTCAATACAGACCTGTACTTATTTTAAATGTGTGCTTTCAACTTGTCGGCCCTTCTTAAATTTAATTTTTTTCCCAAACTGAGATTAAAAATAGATATTGGCAATACGATGTATTTCTTTATTTACCATAGGCTCAACTGTGATTGGTCTGAATGTAAAATGCCTCCATCAAATAATTATTATGGTGCAACCAATATAAGTTTAACTGCCCGTGTTTAATAACTTAAGTGCAAGGACTAGTCACCTAATCGTGCGATAAAATCTACTATAAACAACATCCCAAGTGTGAAAACAAAACTCTTCACTTCTAGTGATTTCATGCAAGCGTGGCAGTTAAACAAAAGCTGTATAACGACAACAACAACAACAAATTTACATTTTAAGAAAATAAATGTTCTATCAACTTGTTTTAACTTTGTTCCTTACCTGTAAACCAGTGGACTAGCAAGATTTATTTCTTTAGATAAATAATCGGAGAGGATAAAAGGGAAAACGGGATACTGCATCAGGTCATTAAAAGTTCTTCCAGCCAGCTTGTTTAACTCCATCAGATACCTAAAGCAAAGAAAATTAAGACAGAGGAAACAGCTTTACCACATGCCAACGAGAAATCTTTTAGAACTCCTACTCGAAATTGGTTATACTGCCCTCTCTCCAAAGTTGTGTCGTAGACTGCAACAAGTTTTGTGGAGTGTTTACCAAGTGTGGCAAATCCATTGCTAACAATGAATCTAGGAACTGATTCCTTTTCTAAAAAACATTATTCTGGATAAAAAAGCCGCTTTTTACTTTATGAGATAAAAACAAAAAATTTACTTACATCCGAATCTTCAAAAGCAATTAAGTATGTTTGGCCATCAGAAAAAAAAATTTCTACAGCTTGATCCTTCAAAAGATTGTGGCGCTTATAAACTTCTAACACCTGATCATAATCCCAGGCCAAAACAACAGTAGCTGTTTGCAATATCCCCTTCTAAAAGCAGAGAAATTAAAATTTCAATACGAGCTACCGATAAATATAAAATGTAAAACGCAGAATTTGTGGCCGTGAAACAATGACTTTGTCGAGCAGATTACCTTTATACGAGTAGCCTGTTGAACAATAGAATTTTTAAATTTCTCTGAAGGCAGTAAACTCAAAATAACAAACGATTGCCAACTGTTCTCCGAAATAACTGTATAAAAAGGATGTGAGTAAATTACACCAATTTTTACAGGTGATGACTAAAATTTCCATGCTTCTTAATTAGGTTGCGAAACGAAATTTTGCTTGAAATTTCCTCAGTCACTGGAAAACTGTATGCCTTTAAATATAACAGTGGCTTCATAATGTTAAAAACAAGTTGTGAAAGAGCAGTGAAAATGAATTAAAATCTGGACATAAAAATTATTAAAAATCATCTCAAATGCTACCGTAATTCAGAAAATAATAAAATTATAAATAACCTGGGTTGTTCTGGTTGAGCCACCAAAAAAATAGAATTTTCTGTCACCAATGAGAACTTCTCCCTGACTTTCAACAGTTGATCTGACAACAGTTGCTTGCATAACTGTTTTAATGCGCTCCCCAGGGGCTAAGCTTTCTACCATGTTCCATTCTTTTGCGCTAGTTCGTCTACCACTCTAAAGCGAACGATGTAAAGGAGCTTCAATAAAATCACATTTCAAGCACCAAATTTCAAGCGAAAAGTGTGCCAAACAAATTAAAGTTTCTCTTAGAAAACACACTATTGCTCTAAAAAATGTCACAATGACACTAACTAGAAGATTTGAAAGTGGGAGAGGGTGATCACGATTTTCTAATTTGTAAACATATTCAGGAAGTATAAATTGTTTGTCAAATCTTAAATGAGCTGGAACAAGACGCCTTCTTTCCCTGTTGGGACCTTCGGTTGGATCAAGCTCCCAACTCTGAGGCCACGAAGATGGGTCATGGCAAACAGCTTCGGGATGACACAACTGTATCTGAAATAAAATTATACCTCATTACCAGAATCTATTTTACGTCCCAGACATAAATCATCTCACAAGTTCCAGAAAAGAACTAATTTAAAATCAAAAAGAGACCGCTAATTCTGACAAAAATTCTTCCGCTCTCAGGATACGCATTTCAGTCTCCCGACAACTTTTTATATATGCCTTACGCGGTACATTCTGCTCATTCACTACTGCACAAGTGACCGACATTGCCAACTAGAAAAAAATGAATCAGGACATCTGCACAACAATAAACTTTAAAACGAAAATTAGTTTTAAATCATTGAGTCTACCTGGCTAACTTGCTCTACATATATTTGTTCGTCATCAAAAATAGCTGAAGCTTTCTGCCGCATTGTCAAAAGATGAGCATTTCTATTCTCAACATAAGACTGTATTGAAAGCTTTTCGTCCGAATTCAGTGAACGAAGTCTTTCTAAAAAAAAAATAGTGATGTAAAAATCAAATCCTTCAGGAAGATCAAACAATCTTCCAACTAAAAGTGACCTTTACGTAGCTTTCAAAAGATGATTAACGGATAAGACTAAGAGGATGCTGAAGCACTTCCCAATGTATTTCTGCAGAAGACATTAAAGTTCTTCGTGAGCACTCTGAAGCTGCTCATCAATAATTACTTGCATATTAAGTGAATCAGGACTCAACAAAAAGTACGTACTTAATTTTTGAGAACAATGGAAGTTGAAGAATCAGTTTCATTTCACTTAAGGACAAGGTCTTTTGCTGATTCTTAAGTAGCTCCTTCAAAAAAACCTTTTTTCAGAAAGACTCTCATGTCCTACCTTCGCTGAAATAACCTTCAAAACGTCTTCTAGAAAATGTACTGCAATTCCGATAATTTTGTCCCCATACAGCAGAACTCTACATCACCTAACGTTTTGTTCCCATTAACAAAGATCCATTAAGAAAATTTTGCACCAACTGTCCGTTGAAGTCTGTCAGACGTATCTAGGCTTTCCTGTACTCTTCTACGCAACAGAAGACAATAGCGTTGAGGGTTTCAGTACCTCGAAAACTATTTTTCTGAAGAAGATTCTGTAGGTATAACTTTGTCCCAACAATACCTAGCTGTTTCATCTCGCAGAATAACTCTAAGGTAGATAACCTTTCAGCATCCGACCTCTCCATCGTCGTCTTCAGATTGCTCAAAATAATACAACACAACTCAACGCTCAAATAACAATTGAATTTCATAAGTCTCTAGACATAAACTAACAAGTAAAGCGAAAGGCTCCAATGAAACCTTTTCTTAATTAAAAAATTTTTCTTTTGGAAGAAGTTAAGAACAAATTTAGAATCCACTCAAATTCTACAAAGTAGAATTGCTCTTCGGCTCCTCAAATTAAAACGAGGCCCAGCACAATCTCCCAAACCTGATGTGAGTCAATTACTGTACAATACACAGTAGTAAGCATTGCAGCACAATCCCAACTTCAAATTATCAAAGATTTTTTCTTTTGTATTTTATTATGCAAAAGTCTGATTTGTACCGCGTCACTTTGTGCTCAGAAAGTACTAAAGCCAAAAAAAAGAATGCTTTTCACTAATATTAAAATAAAAAACTTTCAGTATACCTTCGCTAAGGTTGGCAAACGGAGAATCGATTTGTAGGTTCCTTAGAAACCTAATTAGTTTCTCAATGTCCTGCAGCAGTGTCCTGTTAACACCTTCCTCAACAACCGCTAGCTCATGCAAAGCAAAGTTCATTGTATACTGATAGTCCTAAAATAAAAAGTACGAATAAGCTGCTATGCAAACAATTATGAGTTATCTGAAAATGTTAAAAATGAATGAAACATTCACGTAAAGCTGCAAAAAAAGAATAAAACCAAGTTTCTTATAGTATCATTACAAATAGCAGATAATAAGCTAACCAAGTTGATGTCGAGAAGGGCCTTCAACATGGTTTTATAAAGCACGTCGTTGGCAAACATACGCACAATTAGCAAACGTTTCCGTAACGTAGAGTCAGGAACCTAAACTATAAAACGTGAAAAAAAAAGAGGAAAACAAAATTCAAAACGAAGCCAGATCACAAGCACATAATCTTTAAAGCAGAGGAGCCCAGAAGAGGCTTTGTCAACATATACCAAACCTTTTCAGTATGAAAAATTTCGACGCAAAAACGGAAACCACGAAAAAACCATCCTCTTTTAAAAGAGAAAACGTGTGCTTAAAACGAACATGCGACAAGGATCAAGTAAACTCTCAGAAGTGTATGAAGTTGTTAAACCTTAGAGCAACATCTTTCACAAGTACGTTTGGAGAGTTTTTTTTCAGCAGGAAATACTAGGTATGCTAAAAGTTGACCAAGAATGAGCCGAGAGCGATCTCTACAAGACAGCAAGATTTTTGCCCAAACACTCGTCCTTGCAGGCAAATTCCATATTCCAAGACCGGCATTCATCTAAAAAAAAGACAGGAAGAAAATATCGAAAGCAACTGAATAAAGTACTTACGTAGCGATCAGTTTTCCACGTTGTGAATAAAAAGCTTATGAAATGAGAAAATAGCTTTTCTTCTTCTTCCGAAACCACACAACCACAACTGGGTTGAATGATGACAAAAATGTGTGAGACTGCAGAAATAGCAAATAATATCCGATTTACAGCCTCCGTAGAAGTGGCAACTTTTATTTGGCTGCGCCATTTATATCGGCATTTCATTTCTAAAGGAGCAAAAGTATGAAATGAGAACAACAATGTGGAACGGTTGAAAATCCAACTAACAACTGCAATGAAATATTCTAAACAAAAAAAAGTTAGTGCAACAAATACTCGTGCATTGCGCCAATGAATTTACTATATAAATTATGAGAGAAAAACGAAAAAGAAAGAAAATATGATCATACGATCTCCTAAAGAAGTAATTTTCTCTCGAAGACTGGCTAAAGAACCAGAGACGAAAGCTGTCATCGGAGAAACAGATTTTCGTGGTGAAGAAATATTTACAGATTCAGGGTCACTTCCCACCACTATAGTGCCAGATTCTGTTGAAAATTCGAGAATGTTTACCGATTAGATAAATTTTATTATCGAACTTCAAAATATAATAAAGTCAGAAGAAGGAATGAATTAGAATGACGCTTGTGAGAACCAGCGTGCCAAGAATACTTGAACAAATTGAAAGTCTAACTTGTTGGCGTCTCTGCACTCGAGCTTGCACCGACAGGGGATCCGATTTTGCAAAAAATATGCTGTAAACAATTCATCCAACAACTTAAGACTAAACACAGTCCACGTCTTAACTTTTTCTCTGCAGAACAGTTTCCGCTTTTCGAAAACTCCAGTAAGGCGCACTCCAAAAGCAGCACCATTCGCTGGCACATTTCATAATGCCTCGTGTCACTAAGCTTATTTATATAAATATATACAAATGTAAATATAAATATAAAGGTAAATATAAATAAATAAATAAATAAATAAATAAATAAAT